CCATCGAGGTACCTATCAAGGGCGAGCTGTCCATGCTCATTGTCCACATAGCTGACGATGATGGTGATGATGATGATGATGATGATGATGATGATGATGACGATGGAACGAACGACCAGGATCTCAGCACATTTGGATAACTTTGTGCAATATTTCCTTTCCCAACAATTCGTTTTGTATGGCGATTGTGAAAAAATTCAGTATCCCCGGTGGGATTCGAACCCACGCATGGATGCCGCCTACGCTTTGTACGCGCAGTGCTATCGGTGTGGCCTCGTAGCTCAGCTGGTAGAAAAAACATGCGCCGTAACAAAAGCGTAGGCGGCGTCCATGCGTGGGTTCGAATCCCACTGAGGCTACTGAACTTTTCCCAATCGCCATAGAAACTTCAAATCTGCCAAACATCCATTGTATTTGGTTTCCTTACAATTAATTCCACTCACATAAACGATGGGTTTGACCGCAGTTTGCATTTGTACAGATACAGTAAAAAAGACCACGGATTGTGGCTGATCACCTTCCACTTAGATCTCGTGAAATGCTTCATGCTGAGGAAGCCCTTACTCACTGACTTGCCTTGGGGCGGAGGTGTTTTCTCACACCAATATGCGGGGCTAGAAGCGGGTCAGTGAAACACGGGCAGTTCATTTAGGGGAGTTGGCTCAAAAACCCTGGTTCCAAATTGAACAAATCGCCCATACAACTTCCTGGTTGTAGCAGTGATCAGTAATCATTGGCTTCATTGGGTATCGAGGTGTATTGGGCACCTTGGACTTTGGACCCCGTTCAAAGGGTGTATGATCCGATTAACTGAACATTGGCCTCCAATGGATTACGGTTTTCCCAGATGTGTGTGTGAAATACAGATAGGAAATTTACTTCAGAGTCAAAGTACAAACTCTAAGTCCTGGCTTCTTTATCTTCACCGGAAAAACAGAGAGAGAGAGAAGGAGTTGAATGAATAATTCAAGTTTGTATATGTACTGAACATAGCCCGTGTGTGAGGCGCCCCTCCCGGCGCATAGATTGGAACAAGCGACACGCCCGGGAAGGGGGGGCTGGGGACTGGTTGAAGCTCCAGGTTGTGGTACACTTGATGTACATGGACGCCACATGTCACAAGTGGTTTGAAGCAAACGCGCAAAATCTCGGGAATAGGACCAAAACAGATAGGGCAAACAGTCGATGATGAAAAGTAGGTGAGTGTTGTGTGTGTGTGTGTGTGTGTGTGCTCGATGCAAATGAAAATCACAAACGGAGTATTCGTGTAACCCCCGTGGATGAGACGGGACCAATCGGATAGCCGAAAACGTGTCATTTTTACACCCGAATGAGTGCGTGGACCAGAGTGAGAATGATTTGTGATCTAACGTGAGAGTCACGTGCGACAGCAAACATTTTGCCGGATGTTGTTGACTATTTTCCAAAGTTAATCAAGGATACCATAGTTTTAAGATTATTAAACGTGTGCCAGCTAGAACTTAAAGATACTGGATAGAATAGATCAGATACTAGGAGGTTAGTGAATTTAATTTTTACACCATAGGACTGCTAGTACTGTGGAGAAAGCATTCAAGTATAAAAGGTTAGAAATATCTTGAAAGAAACGCTAGAGGTTGCGTAAGACACCATTCTACTGAACTGCAATGTTTATAACCCTCATAGCACGCGCGTTCCTCAACATGGACGGAAATTATTGCAAGATGAAAAGCGAGACAAGTAGCACGACAACGTGTGGTGACCAAGGGGTAGGTATACGCAAAACGTGACCAAGCCGTTGGAGGCGGTGTAGAACGATTACTTTTTTTAGAGAACGACTATCCACACCCACCTTACGATGACCAATTTCATCATTACTTTTTTTTGATTTTACTTCCTTTTATTGAATATACAAAGATACAATTTTCANAATTAAAGGGCTGCCATACAACACACAAATGGGGAAAGTCATGCGGTGACGGTGGGATTCGAACACTCGTCCTCCGGGGTGATAATTGGTGACGTTACCACCGGGCCACCACCCGATTTTTCCACCAGATAAGAGTAATGCTTCGGAGAAGACATCGGTAGCCAAATATAGAGAGTCGATTCGCATCCTCAACGTGTGTGTGGGGGGGGGGCAGGTCTCCCAACCGTAAATCAAGAGACTACGCACTGCGAAAATGTACACCCTTCCCTTAAGAGACAGTTGGATGTCATAGCGGTGCCACAAGTGTTGCATGTTGACGAAAGGTGCTCTAGGTTTCGCTATTCGTGATGTGATCTCCTCCCCCCCCCCCAACACCACTATCACCACCAGCTGCGATCAAGTTCCCGAGGTACTTAAAGATCTCGTTTGCAGCTGATCCTCACAGAGAGTGAGTGCAGGTAAAGGCTCCTGCCAGTTTTGAACCGTCGGTCATCGCCACCGATCGTAATCCGCGTTCAGTGTGGAGTTGTGAAAAGTGTATTGATCGGGCAGAGTATTTACGCGAACGTAGTAGTATGAGCAAAGAAATAACAGTCCATTTCGTCGATGATTTAATCCAACGATCAGATGTCATGGATTTGTGTTAGTAAAATTTAACAAACCAATCAAACAAATACAGGTGAATAAAGGAAGAGATCGGGTACAAAGTTGGCAGTGTTTGGGCCAGAAATAGGTTTGAATCGGGATTCCCAGTTGACAGAAAGGAGACAAGGCCCAATAACCTGAGAAACTCTGTTCGTAAACTTTTGGATGATCAAATAACTAAGGTCATCAGCACAATGATCTTTTGCCCATCTCCACCTCCTCTGTCTTGAATGTGTCCTCCGATTGAGATCTGATTAGCTGCGATCTCCAAACTCAATGAAATTTGATTATATGAGTAAGCAGTTATTAAGATAGGGGGTGAAACGATTGAGAATGTGATTGACAGGTCAGTCAAAATCTATTCTACTGTTAATACAACATTTGTCCCAGTCGATACAGTTAAAATCAAAAACGGAACCATCCATCCGTGTCCACTAACCTCAGTTGCAACGTTCGAATCAGATGGGACACCCCATTGGGACAAATCTTGTAAACTTTTCACGGACAATTCCCCACTGTCCACGGGGGAATCGTCCCCGAGACTCCAAAATCGGATAGTCCCATCATCTGCACATGTGGCAAATGTTCCGCTAGTCCACCAGGACGGCATCGCATTGTTTACACAAGAACCGGAGTCACTGAAACGTGTCGCCGAAGCTGATGGGGATAGATTGGACATACTGTCACTGAAACAATCGATGGACCAGACTCCGCGACTGTGGTAGAAGTGGGACATGCAACGTCGAATATTGTTCAGATCACAAATGTCCCATACGTAGAAACTGCAGTTGGCAACAAACCAGGGGTGGATGGGTCAAAGAAGTGAGAGAGATAAGAAAAACGGATGTAGATGAGTTTGCCGATCCAGATTTTAAGAGATGTGAAACAATACGCAACTCTTATAAAGCATTAGATATGTCTCGGAAACGTACAGCGGAGTTCCTCGGATCAAGTCTCAGTGGTCTTTTCAATACACATGGTGAGAAGAACACTAACTGCTAGCTAAATATTTTGTAATTCATTCCTCCATACTGCGGGGAATTTTCTATTTTAACCATCTAAACAGCACGCCTATATCTCCCTAGTTGGGATTATATCAGATCAGATGCTACGCATTCGAATTTGAATGACACACTGATGGTTTTCCTGTCGAGGACTGTCGTGTGTGAACTGTGCATTTTCAATAATTCCAAGCAGTGCATTTCCCCCCCCCCCCTTGTTCAAATCCGTTCGGCAGATTGTGGTCACAGTGCGACCTACTCGGACCGTTGATTCAGACCAAAGGAACTTGCTGAATAGGCTTCCAAGACCAAACACAAGGAATCGGAAAATGTGTCACACACACACACATCAAAAGAACAACCTGACCCAATCCGGTCACGTGAACGCTCTTGTCAAATANCACAAAAGCAACTGTGTCGGTAAGTTCTACGCACGGTGCACAAACTCAAAACGACAATTAGTCATTCCCCCACCTCTCTCTCTCCCTCCCTCCCAATGTGGGGGATCAGGCGAGCATCGGAAAGTGAAAACACAACATCGACTGGAACAAAGTGACACATGCGTACCAGGATGAGCACACTTTCTCTCTCTCTCTCTCTCTCTCTCTCTTCGATGAGTGACAAAAACGTATCGATATCATGATGCTGTTGAAACCGATAGCATAGAACACACTGATACCTGATGTTATATTCAGTTCAGTTCAGTTTGTACAACCATTAACCATGCACTTTCATGTGCCGATTTTGGTTGCTGTATTTTGACTGCCTATTTGGATGAACATGAGAAGAAAGACAGGAAAGGTTGAATGTAGGATTAAAGAGAAAATTTAGAACTTCATTGCACTAATTTTGCAGAGAAATAAACACGAACGCCACTGTTTACGACACTAAGTCATATCACTCAGTGTAGCTAACCATCAGTTACGATCATCCCGAGGTCCCCAGCCAGGGAGCCTAACGGGACCTATGTGACCCAGTCCCCTGATCAGGGTTTTCTAACCCTTATGCCAGGTCTTCATCTGACCACCCTTGACCTTTTTCCAACCGTTACCTGCCTCGCCAAACATCGCTCACCTTGGCAACCTATCTGGTGATATGCATAGCACATGTTCCAACCATCGTAATCTATGGCAAAGTCTCTACACCGTAAAGCAGAACTGGCCGAACTGCTGCATCATATACTCGACCCTTCACAGACAGTCGGATGTCGCGACGGCACCACAGATGTCGCAAGTTGGCAAATGCCAACCGAGCCTTCTGTATGCGCGCTGACGCTTCATCCATGATGCATCCACCGGGTGAGGTGTACCTGCCCAAATAACAAAACTTATCCATCTGATCTATTACTTCCACAGTTAGAGTGAGGCTGGGTAGTGGACCAACCCAGTCTTGAAGGTGCAAAACGCATACCGAACATGGCTTCACTAGCACTCAGGCTATCCAGAAAAGCTTACAACTTACCTCGTTTAGCAGCCCAATGTCGTCTGCATACTCTAGATCAGACAGTCTGCAACCTGGAAGTAAATCGATGCCGCTATTCTCGCACGAGGATAGGGCTGTTTCCATAATTAAATCTATAATAAAGTTGAATAGGAAAGGAAAGAGAGACGGCAACCCTGGTGTTACCTAAGATCATTTTGCTCCAAATTATATATAGATATTACTTTATTTCCATTTGATAAATACATAAAGATATTTTCAATTCTCAGGAGGGGACGTGCGGCCAATCAGACGTTGCCTGAGGGAAGAAGTGAGGAAGATGGTCAGTGTCGGTGTGATTCGAACAAAAGACCTATGGAGGCGCTAAGGTAACAACCTTGGTCACTTTCCCACCGCGGTCTTTTCTGTTACACTATATGATGAAAAACAGAATGACTAGACCCTATAGTCACGGGACCTACCGTTCAGTCATGGAACTCGGCAACCTGAGACCGTATAGTGCAGCTGCCGACTATCAAAGTTGGGTTGTGGTGACCGGGTTTGAAGCTTGGACCTTCGGATCGTCAAAGTACGCCAGTGCCAACGGCCTGAACCGCTTGATGACCATTGAACCCAAAGTGTCTCTTTTGTGCTTATCAAATCTGCAGTTTAAAAGATCATTTTGAATGTGCAGCCTATTTACAAGTGTTTCACAAACTGTATCTCGGCTATGTAAAAGCTTGTTGTAATTGATTGAATGAACAAGCCGAATGGGGCCGGAGACAGTAACTAAACCTCGATCGCACAGCGTAGGGAGAATCTCACTCGGAGCAAAGCATGGGCTCTGTCCACGGGTGCTGACCAGTAGGAGCGGCAGTCTTTAATGGATCCTCGCCAGCGGTGGTCGATGTCAATGTGGTTGATTTGAGTCTAGCGCTGTGAAGAAATTGACGATCTTCT